TCCCCACAAAAAAAAAAAAAGATTACATTTGAGGCTTTAAAATTAGTAGAAAATATCATAGCATTGACGTATAGTATAAAGTAATATTATTTCATAACATTTTATTGCAAATTATTTAATTTAAATTTTTTTATAGTAAGTTATACCTGTATGTAATTGTTTTGATAATAAAAATAATTTTATTTGAATACAATGAATTTAATTTAATTGAAAAAAGTTATTTAGTTGTTGAATTATTCTAATTTCAAATTTTAAAGAAAACTTTACTGGTTAAAAATATAATGACACATTTTAGCTGAAAAGAGTAACTTCTTTTATTTTGTTATTCACCAATTTACAATAAAAGTTTTAAAACTATCATGACAATTATCTAGTAGGCTAACAGGTTAATTCTACTTTGATTAGTGATTAAATCGATTAAATAGTTTTACACTACACCACTTCTGATCAAAGTCTATCGAAAGCCTATAGAAAAATAATTAGATCCTTGCAACATACAATATATACATATGCACACACACACACACACACACACATGCAGTAATTCATATTATAAATTGTACTTTATACTTTATGACATGTATGGTATGATTACTAAAAGTGTCCAAGAATATTTTAATAATATAAATCTATACAGTCCTATTTTGGATTCAATTATTATGTATATACTCATATTATGCATATACATATCACGCAGCGCCACCTTTTAAGAATTTTATTATTTTGCATACATTTTTTGTTAATTATTTTACACCGTTTTAACAACAAATGTAGTAAACTATTAAATATATAAATTTATATAACTTTGCATATATATTATATATATATAATTATAATGATATATGTGTGTGCCAATTTTAAAACGTACATCATGTGTGGCCATGAACAATAAATATTACCTATACAGTATACACTATAATACACGTGATCAAAAATATAAGGGGAAAAACGATTAACTACCGAATAGTATCCCGTGTGATTAATAATGTATTTTATCGTACTCGAAATGACAATAAAATCAACTTTTAAACAAAAAAAATTTACGTTAAGCAGCATTTTATAAAATCAATTGTTATGCATATTTTGGTGCAAATTAATATTTATTTTATACATATTTTATCGTAACATAATACAACATCGAACGTAACAATATTTTTTAAATTACGAGTGTCTTGGGTAATTACAACTGTCAGATAAGTTTATTTAGTCACGTACATACTTGCAATATGCGGAGTTACCCATTTAACGTTAAACATTCATTATTTAAAAAAAAAAAACATTAACATTTTAAAAAAAAATTTTTTACATACATAAATGCAGTATAAAACAATAGTTTTGAAAAATAAATAAATATTTATTCATTTTATTACATTGTATCAATATTATTTTTTTAGTTTTTACTCGTTTGAATGATAAATTTAATTTTTAATTTCATATTTTAAAACATTATTTAGAGTATTTTGAACTACCGAAATTCAAATTTAGGACAAGTAGTTTAATAATTTATAAATATTTTAATTTTAGACGAGCGGAGTTATGGACCAAAATTTTATCTATACCCTCATACCACTCCACTCAACTGCTCATTTAAAATTTAAATACTTACAAAAATCGAAATTCGAACGAATATACAAGCATAATTATGAAGCTGTGGTAAACTATTGTTTGATTGAAATTAGTACGGTGACGAAAATGTCGTTTGAATTTTTTTTCCGGTCATCTACGCACACTTCGAAGAGTGTCAATAAATACATTATAGTAGTAGTCATCGGTGTCGTATAAATATTAAATCCACCACCCTCCATTTGATCGATCGGCGTAAACTCTATCGAACCATTGTAAATATTAAAGAAAAAAATCAGTGAAAATTCACGGTAACGATAATTCGTTTTTATTATTTCGTTATGATTTTTTTGCGGTCAAATCGTTTGTGAGAGGTAACTGGAGATCGAAATCATCGCTGCAGTGCCGATACTATTAAATCCCATTTTACTGCTACCGTAGACACGCGCGCACCACGGAAATATTTGTATTCTACCTTCGCGGAATCTTTGATAAAACATGTCCCAGCCCTGCTGAAGTCTGCCGCCACCTCACTCGGCCAGCCGTTTTCCAAGTACAAGAAAAATATCCGGGATTAATATTGCCAATATAAATAAACTACGCGACTGGTGGATGGATGGCAGAGTTCGAGAAAAGCAATCTTCTCGGCCTATTCCCCTTTTGTCAAATCCCCATCCGTGAAGCCATAGACGGTTCCGATTAAAACCGAATTATTTCCGTCTCCGCGCGACCGTAAAATGGATTAAAATGATGAGGCGCATATCCTTGCATATCATATAATATTAATATCGCCAAAATATTCTGCGACACAGATGAACCGCAATAACGTGCAAAATGGTGTCTCGTGAAAAATCGAAGCACAGATTTCTTTCAATTATTCTTTACCAGTAATGTTTATTTTTATACAGTTTTACACTTGAAACGTCTAGAAATAATATTTATTTATTAATTATTCTAAAAAATGTGTTCTTATTGCATTACCTTATTTCTGTTTAATTAGCATAGGTAGTTAATTGTTATATAAATGTCAACAGTAAATATATTGTTTGATTCGATGTAAGTAATTTTAATTATTTGGCATGGACGTCCGATAAATCTTTTGATTTAGAAAAGACAAAAAAAATTGTTTTATATTTTAATTTATTTTATATTATCCTTAGTCTTTATAAATATTACACCGAGCATTTAAAACCAATGTAATGTATCTATAGGTACATATATTTCATCATTGAATTTATAATGAAATAAATTATTATTCATCAATAATTACATTATGAAAAATAGATTATAAATTTTAATTATTTAAAACAAAATTAGGTAATTGTCAAATTTAAATTTCAGTAAAAATGCGTGTAATATGCAGTCAAGTAAAAAAATAAATTACGTATGCACCATAATTTGATACTAGTAGTTTACGAACGTCAATCTATAAAAACATATAAAATACTAGTAAATACTAAATATAAATAAAGACCTATACTTTTGATACTTCTGAATTCAAAAAAAAAAAAAATGTTGATAAATTCATATAATATAACTGTCAACTGTTTTGCCACTTTACCAAGAATAAAAATATATTAATATTTTTCAATATTATGCACAATTGACGAATACCAATTTATTATCGTTTAATAACATCAATCAACTCAATAATTGATACCATTTTCCAATCGTGTCAATTATTATTTTACCTTTAATCGGTACAATTATTGCATGCCAGTTTGTGGAAGTACTTTTGACAATTGTTACTCTTATTTAAAAATAAAAAATAAAAGATGATACTTACTAATTTTTTGTTTTTTAAGTTAACTGATACACAACCATTTAAAAAAAAACACCGTTATTAATGCAAATTTGGGATAACCATCTTCCAATCGCAATTAATATTTATACCACTCCCTATCAGGTCAAATGCATTGTTTTCCATAATAAAGTAAACGTGTGTTATTTTAATGATTTTTTTTATTTTAATTTTTTGTATATTTGGGAGATATTCTAATATATGTTTGGATTGTACAAGATTAGATAATGTGATGGAAAAAAACTGTTGTAAAATATTATACGGAATATAACATGATATTATAACTACCTCAGATTATCCACAATAAACATACATTTGACAATCATAAAAACACTAGCAATAATGCGAATTATTTTATCGTTGTGTAGATGTATGAACGTTCATCGAGTGTTATAACTTATAAGTTATAATTATTATTTTCATCGTAATTGTCTAAGTTCAATTTTCTTCAGACTTTAAGTTATTTTAGTCGTTAATCAGCTGATACATCATAGTTTCCACTTTCTTGTCGACAAGTAATTCTAATGGTTTTAAGTATTTATGTTTTTTTAAAAAAAAATTGTATTTTCCATAACTTGATGCTTATCACTTAAAGCATCAAATATGTTTGCATGATTTACAAGTGTAAAAAAAAACTTTTCTCTTATTTATTTCACTATTTTCACACATATTTTTAATATTATCATTAAATAAGAAATATATATATATATGTTTGTGTGTCGTGTGTGTGTGTAACAAATCTTTTTCTTATGAATAATATGAATGTTAATTTAAAATTTAATGAAGGTATTCAAAATTTGTTAAAATAATATATTGTAATTTAGTCGGAAAATATGTGAAGAACATAGGTATTACATTATTATTTTATGTTTGTTTAAACAATATTTACTATTTCATTAATTACATTCGCTTTGTGTTATAGTAATATTTTTCAGTAATTTTAAGATAAAATGTTAAGTCTTATTATAGATGCTATTCTGTTAAAAAACTGCGTTAAAATATCTAAAGTTGAACGCTAAATAAATATGTATAACTAAAACAATACAAATTAACATTATATTAAAAATATAAAATAAATTATATAAGTTGTACTTTTACCATGCATTACGAAAAATAATGTTTTTGAAATTAATTATTATAATTACACTTTTAGAATTTCATTAAACCAATTTACAGTAAATTAAATAAACTTCGTATGCAAATTTATGAAGGTTAGAATTTTAGTACTGCATTTAATGTTTTTATTTAACTATACTTAAAAAATACATAAAAATGAATATTTACAAACACTCATAAAAAACATTGTAGCATCATAAATTACAATGAAATGCCTTATTATTAATGTTTAATTATATCCTTTCATTTATTTACTGTTGTTTGCCTAAAATAATTATCATTTTTACTACATATTAACATTCTATAATTTAATACTAGTAGATATTTAAAATAATAATAAACCATTCACAGTAAAGATTGTTTTTCTTCGTGTAGAAATTGTATTTGAATAAAATAAAAATGTACTTAAAATGTTTTTAATTTGAATATTTATAGTATATATAAAATATTATATTTGGATCTTATCCAATATACCTATATATTTAAAATCAAACATATCTAATTTTAAGCCCAATTTCAGGTGAAATGATCGTCTGGTTTTCCGTCATAATTGCGGTGATCGGTTGGTGTGTGGACTGTTACATCGAAGACTTGTGTCCGAATTGTAATCTCTATCAAGACTCAGCTGAGGTAAGAACTTACACGAAACAATGCATATGTAGACAAATACGTACACATGTAAAGTCCCCTTTTTTGCGGGTCGCTACCGTTCGATATGTTCCCTATGGAAAATCTATGTTTATATTAAAGAGATCCTGGGTACTCGATATCGTTATGTAATATTAACGCTGGAGATCAGGGTTATCTTATTCAAGTAAAATATATAATATAAATAAATAGATATATCATATATCGATACAAGACAGATAATATAATATGACGATATATATAAAGAATATGAGGGTCACCGGTTCGGTTACGGTGTGTCGACGTGCTATAAGTGTGGATGTTTGCTGATGGCCGTGCGGATCGTCGAGGAGTTTTTTCCGTCACATTTCTATTCATATCACTCACTCCGGCCAAATAACATCAGTCATTATTATATATTACCAGGTCGTATGCGGAAAAACTTTAAGTCAGGAGTCGTCCCCACTCGCCATTTCTCAAACTCAGCTTATTAGTCGAGTCCTGTCTAAAGAGTAATTTATAGATAAAAAGTAATTATAGACTGCAATCGTTACACGTACCCCTTTTCGATTTAAATCTGGACCCCAAATTTGGGATAACAGTATCTGAGTTGAAGCTAGTGGTGAAAATGTTATATTATATTAGTCCGATCGCAAATAATAACGGTACTTGTTAGTTGTTACACGCATATACATAATATTTATATATATTATACTATATATTATGTACGTAGAATAGTGTTTTACGATACGACAACATTAACTACCTATTTAGATAAATACCTTTATTTATTTTTTTTTATTTTTACGGTTGGTCGACATATTGTGAATTTGGCCGAAATTCAGACATGTTTGTGGTCCAACCGTAAAGGGGCGTGGGCGAATGTTAGTAGTGCAATGTGAACGGAATGTGGAACTCAACAGGAGTTTAGGAAATGTTGTACGAAAACTATGATAACTGGCCAATAAACTTAACACCTGCGTTGCACAGCGTCGTTATAAAAAATCAAGGGAACACAAACGTAGTCCACCTTTTAAAACGTACAACAAAACAAAACACGACAAAAAAAATATCGAAACGTAAAATGTGAAGACGCTTGCACGTATCCCAATAAATCTGTGCAATTTCTTTGTAGTGAATAATCCGTTAGCCGTAAAACGTAGTGTGCTATAATGCGGAGCTGTGAAATTAATACATTAAGAAATTTCAAAATAATAGCGTATACTCATATATGCACTAAACATTTTCTGAGTATACGATTTTTATGACCAAAATATCTTATAAAACTAATATGTATCCATAAAAATAGTGAATCATTTATAGTATTAAATTATACATTCATATTAAATAATTTAAAAATTTAATATTTTTTGTATAAAACATATATTTTTTTTTTACCATTGACTTGACAGTGAGTCAAACCTAATAGATACATTTTTATATGGTATTATCAAATGAGTCGATCCCTTTATATAATTGAATTTGTTTTTGTTTTATAAAATTAAACAATTAAATGACCATTTTATACTTACATTACGTATCATAATTACCGACATAATATGTATCATTATTATTTACTATTTATTGAATCAGTGATAAAGTTATTACCGATTAAATTTAAGATTATATAAAATCAGAATAAAAATATCAGATAATAATAATAATCTGCAAAGTTATAATATAAGAAATCAAATTTAATGAGTATTTTTTTATTTATTTTTTTTTTTTTGTTAAACATTTTAGAAAATATCAATGATATATTCTGGTTATATTTCAAATTTATTAATACTTTCAATATTTATGAAAAAAATCGATTTTATAGAACACTATAATCTTTCAGTGAATGAATGAGCAATCATATAGAAAGATTTTAAATAATTTCGTATATAAGTGACTACTTTAAGATATACATTTATTTTGATAGCAAAACTAAATATTATATACATACAATATATATAGTACACACACACACACACACATATCATATAATACATTTTTAGAATTTATGCTACTATAGTAAGTCAAATATATTGTGCTAACTTATCAGTTCTCTAGTATGTAGACTTACAGAGTAATCTAATTTTAAACTTTCTCGCTCCATTCGAGTTGGGAATATTGAGTTATTCAAAACATTGAATACGACTGAAAATAATACATGCTCTAGAAGTTCTTTATCTGCTTAATTTTAACAGCGTTTGGATATTATAATTATAATACTTCTATCATCAATGATGTAAAATTACACAAAGCGTATTCAAAAGAAACTTAAGTATTAGATTCAGTAGTACGTTTTACGTTTCAACATTTGATATATATATATATATATATTATATTATTATTTATTTTAAACAAAAAGATAAACAACCAACATAAAAAACTTGCAAGTTGATCTATTTTATCAAAATATTAATGAAGTGTGATAGTATTACGAATTTATCACTTAAAATAAATGATTTGTTAGCACAAACTATTTAACTTTTTATCCATTTTTATCTAGGAAATACATTTTTATTTTGGCTAAATTTCAGAATAAACTTTTAATAATAAAATAACACACAAGATATTTATACTTAAAACTTAATTTAATTTAAATATTTAAATACCATGAATCAATTATATTTAACGATCTAATTTAAAATTATTCTCTTCTTTCTGATATTATAATATATAGTTCTCTATTATAGTTAATTGGGTTATTATTTCTGCATTTAAACGTTCTATTCATTATCAATACAGTACTAAATAAGAAAATCTAATATTTAGTCTTTCCTATGACATAGGGGGATTAGATAAAATAAAATATTTTATCTATATATTTACGAAGTATCTCCATTGGGAAGTCTCTTCATTCTGTTATTCTTGTGCTGTATATTATTGTATCAATTAAATTATTTAAATTAGAGCAGATCACCATATAAAAAAATGTGTTTATATATATAAACATATTGAGGATTATCAAATATCGAGTAATTTTAGATAATAATAAAGCATTTAAAATATATTTGCAATTTTAGATCACTCACGTCTCACGACTTATAATTAATATTATTGATGTTCTAAAAAACTGTGGACATTTTTTAAAACAGTTAAGTTATTCAGTATTTTCATTGTACGTTTTATATTATAATTGCTGATGTTGAGATTTTTTTGTTACATATATACCTATTATGCTCGTCTCTGTCGTAATTTTGAAGATCTGTGGACATTCTCGTTATTAGTAATTGAGTAAGTTAAACTATAGAATACAATCGTCATCATATTAGTTAAAGAGTAAAAGAAAAAAAAATTAGACTTATCAACGAAACTTAACTAGATAATTCGACCAAAAACTCGTCCTTCGGGGATTATGTTAACACTTAAAAGACTAGGATTTCTGGTTACGACACCATTGGTACTGCCAACAAAAACAATAACAACAATATATAGTGTGGGCTATGGTAAACAAAAACGCCCTAAATCAAACAAACCAAGAACATTGGAAATTTGTCTTCTTGAAGACAAGACATATCTCGTATTCTTATGTCAACAATAATGAAAAAAAAGAACCTAAGTTAAAAGCGAAGAAAAATACTTTATACCTGCCAACAAATAGTTTTTTTAAATATATTCATAATTAAATTTCACCTAACCAATTTGTCATATCATACTTGATAAGTAATTTCTACAATTAGTATTATTATTTTCATTTATATTAAATTTCTATAGTTAAAACTACACAAAAGTAAACAAATTAAGTGTACTTAATAGTGTTTAATGGTTTTTAGAAAACAATTTTATTTAACTCTTAACCATATAGCTATTTTAAATTTAAAAATAAAAAACATTGTAAGTAAACACTAAAACCTCTCAAAATATAGAATATATTTATTTCTGAAAATATGCTTTTTTGATATTTAAGTAGATATATTTTTTTAAGATAGAATAAGATTTTCTAGCCTTAGCTATCTACATCTATTAATATTTACAATGGTATATTATTATTTTTTTTTTTTTTTTTACAATTTTTTTTAACAATTTGAATATGATTATTAATATACATAGACATTTAAATAGTAAGATAATTTTCTATCAAGTATACATTCATTAGTGACCGTTATGATACCAGATATAAAATAAGACAGTTTTTAACTTATAAGAAATGCTATCTAAATGATGTCATCAATGTAATGATTAAAATTAATTTACTAAAATTATTATATACACAATTTTTATATTATTCTAAATTTATATAAACTATTAATACTACAAACTATAAATCATAACATAATTTCTATTCCATTAAAATTATGCTTAAACGTAAGTTAAAGTAAATAGGTATGTTCAAGTTATTTTTTAGAAATAAAATATTTTTTATCAAATATATGATCATGTTAATAATCTAAAATAGATTGATACAATGGTTGTTTAAATTAATTGGATATACGAATTTTTATACTTCTTGTGTAAATTCCAATAGTAATCTTTTTCTAAAAAAACACTGCTAGAATGCTACTAAATGTAAATTACGGAATAATGTCTAAAAATTTGATGCAAGTAAATATTATTGTTGAAGAGCTTAAGTTGAACAGAAAAGAAAATAATATTACAATAATTATTATGAAGAGGCTATAACTGTCGTCCATTCAAGATATACTAAATGGCTTATAACTCGTGAACTTTATCTTTATATATATTCAAAATGCATAATAATATTTTAATCTATGTAAAATCATTATTAATCTAGTACACAAAATACAATAAAGTTTATCACAAACTATAAGGACCACGTTGTTAAATGAAATCTAAGAAAAATAATCATGTGAACCCCTTCAATAACTTTTAATACATTTTAAGCGTATAAAGGACATATCCATACAATACGAATATTATTCATTTACGGAATGGAATGTCTTTTTATGTTTATAGTAATTTAAACATACCACTAATCATATTCCAAAATGTCTATGAGACGTTTATCACCGTGCCACCGTATAATGATGCACTGAAAAGCAGTCTGAAATTTT